TCAATTATTGGCATTTATAGGTGGTTATTCCAGGTGTCAATCCAATGAATATTAATTATTATATTAATATGTTAGTATTATTTCTCAAACATCTCTGACATTTAGCTAAAACCTTTCTCTACCTGAATCCCAACAGAAGACATGCTGCAGCATTAATGCTGACATTTTTACTCTGATGCAAATATGTTTATTTCAGTCCTCATCACTTTAGTGAAGAATACAAAAAGTAACATTCAGTTATTCACATCCAGCAGAGGAACAGTCTGGAGAGTCTCTGCAGTCTCTGCTTCCTGTCTCTGAGACTGTTTCTGTGAAATCATGTGACCACAGGGCGTCCTCCCTCTCTGCTGATATAAACTGATCTTGCTCTGTCTCCTCAGCATCAGAGATCTCTGTGCAGCCAACAGGTGAACAGCAGGTGAGAGCACTTAAATACTTTAAGACGTCCAGATCAGGAGTTAACAGCAGATAGTAAGTGCAGGAAACTTGTATTTAATGTATGAAGTATTCCTCCAGACAGACAGGTGATATTTCCTCAGTAAGTGCAGCAGATGAAGTTTCACTCTGAAACATGTTGTTGATCTGTGAACTGTGAAGCTGTTTCTGTTTAAAACTCTAAACTGTCACTTCATGTCATCAGTGAGAGAGTAAACAGCTATGACCATACTGAAGGTGTGATTAATCTATAAAGTCTGTCTAAATTAAATTGATGTCATGATGTCATAATGCTACTAAGCTAGAAACTATTAAAGGTACAGTGTGTAATATTTCTGAGGATCTATTGACAGAAACGAAATATACAGTAATATCCACAACTGTGGTGTCAGTGGTGTATAAAGACCTTCCATAATGAACCGTTATATTTTTATTACCTTAGAATGAGACATTTATGTCTACAGACACCGCGGGTCCTCTTACATGGATGTCATAATGTTGAACTGACGTGTTTCTTTTGTGGCAGAAAATTGTGTCCTCTTACATTTAATCTTTTATGTATATTCTATTATTCTTACTATTATTGTTATATATTATTGTTATATTGTTGTCTTATAGATCGATATTGTGTTTTGATCCGTATCCTTTCCTCTCCTACACTTCTTATGTTAGTCTGTCCACATTTACTAGGGTTTAGGTCAGAGCTGTGAGATTGTTTTTGGTACTTTACCTCTCATGTTGTTCCTCTCTCTCCTGGAATGTTCATTCAAGGCCGAGAGAGGATCTCTGTTGCCCAAAACATAGAAACCTAGACTGTGTAAATGATTATTCATCCCTTTGCTCGTGGCCAGATGTTAGTGATTGTCTTAGGAGACAGAACCTCTGGTCCAGCTGATTTGTGTTGTAGTAATTCTTCAAAGACACCGTTTTGTTGTAACTCAATTATTTGCTCAACCCTTCACTAGGAATATAATTTCCATGACAGTTTCTACAGCAGCCCAAAGAGACAAACTGCTGTACAGAGCGCGTTTCATCACTACGACGAACGCGTGCAAAGACAAAGAAAAAGAAGAAGTAGCCTAGTAGAAGTCGTCTGGTTTGTTAGAAGTAAAAAAGAAGTGACATTTGGACAAATAGAAGACCGCAGGTATTATTTAACACAAGAGCCCGCAAAGGGAGGGCTGAGCGGTGACTGATGGTGCATTCATGTGGTGTCAGAATAATCAGAATTTTTTTTTCCTTATTGCAAAAGAGAAATAATATGTACAGAGGACACAAAGAAGTTTACAGATCTTTGATTTGTGCAAAATTACATATTGCATTTAGATATTGTGCAAACGTGTAATCTATAATCTGGTTAGAAAGGTTAGTTTGCTGTCCATGTAGAGTGATCTAGATGTCTGTGTGTTGTTTATACACTCTGATAAAGTTAATCCAACACATCTTTAGTGTCCATGTTGATTCGACATTCCCCCCCTTACTTTTTTCCCTAGGTATTTACCCCATTAATGTGATACGTGCTATGAGCTCTTACTAGTATGTATTGTCAGTTGTAGATCTCGTGCTGTATTGATGCTCTGTTGATCCTTGTATGTTGTTCCTAAACTGTAAGTCACTTTGGATAAAAGTTTCTGCCAAATGAGTAAATGTAAATGTGCTGACAGCTGCTGATAACAGCAGCACAGCTGACAGGAGGTCACTGACTTGTTTTTCTTTCATCCAGAGAACCAATAAGCTGCTGCATCCTCAAGCTCCTGTCAAGCAGTTACCATGGCAACGTGAGTAAAACTAGTTTCTACAACAACACAGAGTTTCAGAGTTTATTTTCTTGTTGAAATGCATCACACTGCTGAATCCCATTTTACTATATGATGTGAACATTTCCAACGTGAGCAGAGTTAAGAGTGAAAACTGGAAAAGTGTCAGATTGATGTGATTGTAGTAACAATTAAAATACTAGAACTGCAAGCAGTTATAAACGGGGTCCAAGCCTCCCGGCGCCAGGCGCCCCACCTTGCCCCGTGGAGTACAGGCGAGTCGGCCCAGGCCCGCCATGATTAATTGTGCCATGGAGATTAAATGAGCTAGCTATGAGTTATAAATGAAAGGGGCTTGTGGTTATGGAGATCTGAAATGAATGTATGTCTATGGGACTGTTTTTTGATTTCCAATTAATTGCACTACCTAGACGCCGACTGAGGGCAAATTTCACACAGGCCCTCAAGAGGCCGTGCCAGGTAAGGTCCATGAGTTTGGTGTAGATCGGACATTGCAAACGTAAGATCTGACATGACATCCTGTTTTAGCGTTTGCATAAACATTCGTCAGCTTGTAATTGGGACATTTTTTGGTGCATCAAGATTCCCTCTACAAACTTCCTTCGGCTCGGTCCAGAGATCATTCGTGCCAAGTTTTGTGTCGATTCGGACATGTGGCTTCGGAGGAGTTAATTAAAAGAGGTTTTTGTGATTTCGCGAAATGAAAACGTCATCGCACAGAGGCGTGTCCTATACGAATCGGCAGCGTCCCTCAAACACTGAGACATAAGGTTTATTAATGTGCGATGTAGTGGCCTTAGTTATGAGGCAAAATGTCCTTTGGTTGAAAATCCCACAGAAACGAATGGGATTGTCTGACGGTGTTTTAGCTTCCATTATAGCGCCACCTTTTGGCCGAATTGCACCACAATTTTCAGGTGTGATCAGGGCCCCATAGGAAACAATTGCCCCAAATTTGGTATCAATCGGAGTTGTGGTTGTGGAGATGTAAAATGCATGTAAGTCAATTGGATTTTTTTGAATAGCGCCAACTAGGGGCTAACTGTATGAAATTTGAAATGAAATGAAATTTTGCACAGCCCCTCAGGGGGGCATGTCACATAAGGTCCTCAATTTTTTAGTTGATCGGCCTTTCCAAGCCTGAGATATATTATACTTCCTGTTTTTAGCGTTTTCGCAAATATTGGTATCTTGTAATTGGGACATTTTTTGTCGGATCAAAATTCCCTCTACAAACATTTATCGGCTCAGTCCAGAGATAATGCGAAATGAAAACGTCATCGCACAGTCCTATACCATCAGAATCGGCAGCATCCCCCAAATACGTAGACGTAAGATTTATGAATATGCGATGTAGTGAGCCTTAGTTATCCTGCAAAATGTCATTTGATTGAAAATCCCATTGAAATGAATGGGGTGTTTGAGCTTTGATTATAGCGCCACCTTTTGGCCGAAGTGCACCAAATTTTTTTTAGTTCCATGGGGAAGAATTGACCCAAATTTGGTGTTAATGGTAAGGTGCCTCCCAGGGCTCAGTGAGGAATATTATTTTTTGGGGACTATGAATTTTTTTTGAGGACTACTTTGCGTTCCCTCGCAGTATGTTTTGTGTTACCTCGCATTACTTTTGCGTTACCTTGCAATATGTTTTGAGTTCCCTCACAATACTGTCTTCTTCCGTTAGCCTAGGCTACTTCCGAGCCATATGCTCAGCTGCTCTCAGCGCAACACTCCAGCTTATTCAATTTACTTTGAACGGAGAATTTCCTATGTTGATATAGTAGACTACTACTGCTCAATAGGCATATTATGTAGACTTTAATCAAAAAGGACCAGGCACCACGGCTGGGATCGCTTGGACGTATGGCTGCTCCCAGAGATTATCCGTGCCAAGTTTGGTATCGGTCGGACTTGCGGCTGTGGAGGAGTTAATTAAAATAGGTTTTTCAGTTTTTGCGATGTAGTGAAAAAAAGTCTAGGCGGAAATGGGCGTGGCCTATACCACAAGATTCAGCTCGATTCCCCAAAGGCGTGGATATAAGGTTTTTGATAGCCGCCTTCGTAGGCGGGAGTTCCAAGCCCAAACGTGTTGACCTTGCTTATAGCGCCCCCTAGAGGTAGACGTGTGTGGATTTTTGCGCCTGAGTTATGTGCAGTGAACTGGACCTACCCTAGGAGTTTTGCGTCCCCCCCATCACAGGTATCTGGTTATACTCTTAGCAGAAATGAATCCACTTTCATAAATATAACAAAGGAGAGTTCTTGGTGGTATAAAAAAACTAAAGTACTTAAATGTGTGGTGGGGGCAGCAAGTAGAGTGATTTTATTTATTTCATTCTATATTCAGTAGTTTTTGATCTCATGTCTTTACTTTTCTTCAGGAACATCTCATCCAAATATGAAGAAATCATTTCTAAAAGTGATCTGATCCAACCAGGACCTCCTGCTGTCTACCAGCTGAGACCAAAGAAAGAGAACATTGGATCTCTAAGAAGAATGACTCTTGGTGAAAGAAATGTGAACAAGATAAACAAAACCATCTTGCTTGTGGGTGAAACAGGAGCAGGAAAATCTACTCTGATCAATGCTCTGGTCAACTACGCCATGGGAGTGAAGTGGGAGGAGGATGTCTGGTTTAAGATCGTAGAGGACAAGAAGGACGAGGCGGACGATGTGTGCTTTAAGATCGTAGAGGATGAGAAGTTCGAGAAGAGAAGCCAACAGAAAGTCAGACATCAGATGTGATCGTGTACCAGATCTTTGGTTTTGAAGGTGAAACTCTGCCCTACTCTCTGACCATCATCGATACTCCTGGATACGGAAGCACCAAAGAAACTGAACATGATGACATCATCAGTCAGAGATTATTAGACTGGTTCCGCTCAGGAGAAGTTCATGAGATGAATGCAGTGGGTCTGGTGCTGAAAGCAACTGAGAATCGACTGGATGAGCGACTGAGGTACATCTTTGATTCAGTGGTGTCTCTGTTTGGAAAAAACATGGAGAAGAACATTGTTGCTCTCCTCACACACTCAGATGGTCTGACACCTGAAAATGTTCTGAAAGCTCTTGATGCTGCAAACATTAAGATAGCCAAAGATAAGGAGAATGAGCCTGTTCATTTTATGTTTAATAACCGCCAGGACACAGGGAGAACAAAGAAGAATAAGGATGCTTTTAAAGGTCCATGGGATGTAACAATGGAAGGAATGGATCAGTTCACAGAGTTTCTGGAAAAAACTGCACCTCAGAATCTGATGGCAACTATTGAAGTGTTGAAGGCTCGAATCAGACTGACAGCCTGCATCCAAAACCTGAAAGAGAGAGTTGAGTTCACTGAACAGAAACAGAGAGAAATCCAACAGACTCAGGAAACTCTGAAGAAACATGAAGAAGAGAAGAAGAGAAATGAAGAATTCCTTGAACTAAAACAGAGAGAAAACCAACAGACTCAGGAAGCTCTGAAGAAACATGAAGAAGAGATGAAGAGAAACGAAGAGTTCATTGTAGAATTTGATGAAGTCTACAAAGTGAAACAAAAAATTGATGAGAGGAGGTGGTGGTGGTTGTGGTTAAATTATGGAGGAGCTGTCTGCTGTACAGTCTGTGAGGAGAACTGTCACTATCCTGGATGCACATAGCCTGGAGTCCTGAACGCTGTGAGGTCATGAAAGGTGGCCGCTGCACTTCATGTACCAGGAAGTGTCCTGTATCAGATCATGTGAAAGAAAAGTGGATCTATGTGACCGAGACAAAGAAAGTTCAGAAGACCCTGAAAGATGTGAAAGAGAAGTATGAAAGAGGTAAAGCAGGATGTGAGGAGAACTGTCACTATCCTGGATGCACACTGGCCCAGAATCCAGAAAGCTCTGATGTCATGAAAGGTGGCCGCTGCACTTCATGTACTGGGAAGTGTCCTGTATCAGATCATGTGAAAGAAAAGATCTATGTGAATGAGACAAGCAAAGTTCAGAAGACCCTGCAAGATGTGAAGGAGAAGTATGAAAGAGGTAAAACTGGCTGTGAGGAGACACAAGCCTTTTGGAAACTTTAGAAAAGCAAATGGAAAAACTTCAGAAAGATAAAGATCAGATGTTGGAAAAGTCCTTCAAACATGTTGTCAGACTGGATCAGATCGCCCTGAATGTTGTTTCACTGTCCACTCATGTCCACTTGGACTTCCTGATTGAGAAGATGAAGGAGAAAGGAGACGCAGAGAAGGTCCAGAAACTGGAAGAGATGAAAAGTCGAGAAGATAAAGGAACCAGAGCAGGACTGCGGTACATGTCTGCTAAACTTACAGCAGCTGGTAAAGCAGTTAAAGCAGCAGTGATGTAGCAGGTGAACACCATCAGTGTGAGCAGCAGCTGTGTAGAAAACAAGCTCTACACTGTTGATCCAGATGTTTAAACATCACAAAGCGAGGAGTGAGGACGCCCCCTGGTGTCTCATGCTGAGTACAACAGCTCCCTCCCTCCCCCACATCACAAACTAAACACAGTCAGATCCTGTTGGACTAAATCCATTTATTTTTTCTCTTCTAATCATGTTTTCTCCACTATGATTGTGTTTGTGCTTGTATGAATAGACGTGTCTTATATATCCACCATGATGTCACAATGTTGAAGCTGTTGGGAAACTAAAGTGAACTCATTATAAAGGAGTTTAGCCTGGAGGGGGGTTGAAACCTCTTCCTGTGTTCTGAGAGTGTTAATAATATCTTAATATCTTTCTCAATAATAAAGAAGATTCCAGTTAATGTGTGTTGTATCAAAGTCCTATAAGAGCTGAGGACAGACTGCCTCTCCTCAGTCACACCTGTGTAATGCTGATGATGCTCTGACCTGCAAACAATAAAGATCTGCTGACATTATGAATATTGTGTCATCTGGGATTTGAGTTCCAGCTCTCATCTGCACTAGACAGCAGTTTAATAATGGCAATAAACAAAATCCAAAAGGCAGGAAATCCAAGACACAGGTAAACACAGAGAAAGGGCCGCTACGCTCGAGCAGAAGACAAAGACAAACTGGCTGAAGACAAAGGAAGCAGGCAGATTTTGAGTTCCTGTTTTATTGTGAAAGGGTTTGTCTTGTACGACTGAAAGGGCAGAAAGAGACAAAGATTCCTCTGAGCAACAGTTAAATAAGAATATAAGAAGTTTAAATATGAACAGCTTCCTGTTTCAGGGTCAAGTTCACAGTAACGTCTATAAGAAGCTGGAGTTAACAGACGTCTCTTCTGTCAGGCAGCACTGTGGGGACATCAACTAAATGGACGTTTTAATCATTTAATTCTTCTTTTGGGGCCAAACTATTTCAAAATAAGCATTTCCTGAAAACATCACTATAGCAGGTGATTCCAGCCTTGAACTGTAGCGAACATATAAAAGTGTTTCTAAATCAGTGTGCACAGAGGACGTTCCAGAAGAGAAGTCAGACAGAAAGCTGCTGCTGTGTTTGTGAAGAGTCCTGAAAGCTGATGTCCTCTGATGGATTTCTACGCTGCTTTCTTCCTGTGTCTTCGTGCTCTGAATGACTAGTTCAGATATTTCATGTGGAAACATGTTGATCCTTTATGTTGAGCTTTAGTTACATGAAAGCATCCTGAGTGCTGCAGCTTCCTGTGAGCTTCATGAAATCAGTTTGCTCAGAGTGTCTTCACTGGATCAGCAGCAGCTTTTGGACTCTGCTGAAGCTTCTGCTGAACTTTCTTCTGTTTCTCTTTGGGAGTTTGTGAGGAGCAGCAGGTCTGACAGAGATTGGTTCCAGCTGATGTTTCATCACGTGATCAGCTCTGTTGGTGATGCTTCCTGTAGTGACCACTAGAGGTCTGAAGTCAAAGCTTCTGTATTATAAAAGTGTAATATATTTTGAGATCCTGGATTTTTGAGCTGTAATCATCAATATTAAAACAAAAAAGGGCCTGAAATATTTCACTTTGTGTGTAATGAATCTAAATGGGGTTAAACCTTTTGACTTAAATAATGGGAAACTTTTCCACAACATTCCAGTTTTTTTAGATGCACCTGTACATTATTCTTACGCAGCTGTCTGAACAACTGAACCGGGTTATGAGTGGCAGCTCCAACAGAGGGTCCCCTTATAGACTCCCCTCAGCATCAGGTGTTTAACAGGTAAACAGGTTTACCTGTTTTTGAAATGAATCACAAAAAGAGAAACACACATATGAACCACTTGACTAGAAACGAAGCTGCACGCCTGATTGTAAAACTGTAAATTTGCAGCTCTTGACCACGTGTCAGCTGGTTAACTGCCGCTGAGCGTTTAGAAAAAGGACACGGCGTCTCTCTGTGTGACAGCAGCTCGGTTTAATCCTCCCCGTGTGGTTCAGGTACGAGCTCCAGACCATCGGGATCACGGCGGCCAACACCTGGGGCCTGTTCCTGCTGGTGCTGCGTAACCTTTCTTTCTTGCTTTCTTGCTTTTTTCTTGCTTTCTTGTTTGCTTGCTTTCTTTCTTGCTTTCTTGCTTTTTTCTTGCTTTCTTGTTTGCTTGCTTTCTTTCTTGCTTTCTTGCTTTTTTCTTGCTTTCTTGTTTGCTTGCTTTCTTTCTTGCTTGCTTTCTTGCTTGCTTGCTTGCTTGCTTTCTGGCTTTCTTTCTTGCTTGCTTTCTTGCTTTCTTTCTTGCTTTCTTTCTTGCTTGCTTTCTTTCTTTCTTGCTTGCTTTCTTTCTTGCTTGCTTTCTTGCTTGCTTTCTTGCTTGCTTTCTTGCTTGCTTTCTTTCTTGCTTGCTTTCTTGCTTGCTTTCTTTCTTGCTTGCTTTCTTTCTTGCTTTCTTGCTTTCTTGCTGCTTCTTTCTTTCTTGCTTGCTTTCTTTCTTGCTTGCTTTCTTGCTTTCTTTCTTGCTTGCTTTCTTGCTTGCTTTCTTTCTTGCTTGCTTTCTTTCTTGCTTTCTTGCTTCTTGCTTGCTTTCTTTCTTTCTTGCTTTCTTTCTTGCTTGCTTTCTTTCTTGCTTTCTTTCTTGCTTTCTGGCTTTCTTTCTTGCTTTCTTTCTTTCTGGCTTTCTTTCTTTCTTGCTTGCTTTCTTTCTGCTTTCTGGCTTTCTTTCTTGCTTGCTTTCTTGCTTGCTTTCTTGCTTTCTTGCTTGCTTGCTTGCTTGCTTGCTTGCTTGCTTGCTTGCTTTCTTTCTTTCTTTCTTTCTTGCTTGCTTTCTTTCTTTCTTGCTTGCTTTCTTGCTTGCTTTCTTTCTTTCTTGCTTGCTTTCTTGCTTGCTTTCTGGCTTTCTTTCTTGCTTTCTTTCTTTCTGGCTTTCTTTCTTTCTTGCTTGCTTTCTTTCTTGCTTGCTTTCTTGCTTTCTTGCTTTCTTTCTTTCTTGCTTTCTTTCTTTCTGGCTTTCTTTCTTTCTTGCTTGCTTTCTTTCTTGCTTGCTTTCTTGCTTTCTGCTTTCTTTCTTTCTTGCTTTCTTTCTTGCTTTCTTTCTTTCTTTCTTGCTTGCTTTCTTGCTTTCTGGCTTTCTTTCTTGCTGCTTTCTTGCTTGCTTGCTTTCTTTCTTGCTTTCTTTCTTGCTTGCTTTCTTGCTTGCTTTCTTTCTTGCTTGCTTGCTTTCTGGCTTTCTTTCTTGCTTGCTTGCTTTCTTTCTTGCTTTCTTTCTTGCTTTCTTGCTTTCTATCTTGCTTGCTTTCTTGCTTTCTGGCTTTCTTTCTTGCTTTCTTTCTTTCTGGCTTTCTTTCTTGCTTGCTTGCTGTACGAACCTCCAGTGGAAAATCCAGCGGATGAGGCTCAAGGGCCGTAACACTCCCCCCCATAAAATCAAACTAGGGGTTTGACTAATTCAGTCACCACTTGCTTTCTGGCTTTCTTTCTTGCTTGCTTTCTTGCTTGCTTTCTTGCTTTCTTGCTTTCTTGCTTGCTTGCTTGCTTGCTTTCTTGCTTGCTTTCTGGCTTTCTTTCTTGCTTTCTTTCTTTCTGGCTTTCTTTCTTTCTTGCTTGCTTTCTTTCTTGCTTTCTTTCTTGCTTGCTTTCTTTCTTTCTTGCTTGCTTTCTTTCTGCTTGCTTTCTTGCTTTCTTTCTTGCTTTCTTTCTTGCTTTCTTGCTTTCTTGCTTGCTTTCTTTCTTGCTTTCTTGCTTTCTTGCTTGCTTTCTTCTTTCTTGCTTTCTTTCTTGCTTGCTTTCTTTCTTGCTTTCTTGCTTTCTTTCTTGCTTTCTGGCTTTCTTTCTTGCTTTCTTTCTTTCTGGCTTTCTTTCTTTCTTGCTTGCTTTCTTTCTTGCTTTCTGCTTTCTTTCTTGCTTGCTTTCTTGCTTTCTTGCTTGCTTGCTTGCTTTCTTGCTTGCTTGCTTGCTTGCTTTCTTGCTTTCTTTCTTTCTTTCTTCTTGCTTGCTTTCTTCTTTCTTGCTTGCTTTCTTGCTTTCTTCTTTCTGGCTTTCTTTCTTTCTTTCTTGCTTTCTTTCTTGCTTGCTTTCTTGCTTTCTTGCTTTCTTGCTTTCTTGCTTTCTTGCTTTCTTTCTTGCTTTCTTTCTTTCTGGCTTTCTTTCTTTCTTGCTTGCTTTCTTTCTTGCTTTCTTTCTTTCTTTCTTACTTGCTTTTTGCTTTCTTTCTTGCTTTCTTGCTTTCTTGCTTGCTTTCTTTCTTCTCTTACTTGCTTTTTTGCTTTCTTTCTTGCTTTCTTGCTTCTTGCTTGCTTTCTTGCTTTCTTGCTTGCTTGCTTTCTTGCTTTCTTGCTTTCTTTCTTTCTTGCTTTCTTTCTTGCTTTCTTTCTTTCTTTCTTGCTTGCTTTCTTGCTTTCTGGCTTTCTTTCTTGCTTGCTTTCTTGCTTGCTTGCTTTCTTTCTTGCTTTCTTTCTTGCTTGCTTTCTTGCTTGCTTTCTTTCTTGCTTGCTTGCTTTCTGGCTTTCTTTCTTGCTTGCTTGCTTTCTTTCTTGCTTTCTTTCTTGCTTTCTTGCTTTCTTTCTTGCTTGCTTTCTTGCTTTCTGGCTTTCTTTCTTGCTTTCTTTCTTTCTGGCTTTCTTTCTTGCTTGCTTGCTGTTACGAACCTCCAGTGGAAAATCCAGCGGATGAGGCTCAAGGGCCGTAACACTCCCCCCCATAAAATCAAACTAGGGGTTTGACTAATTCAGTCACCACTTGCTTTCTGGCTTTCTTTCTTGCTTGCTTTCTTGCTTGCTTTCTTGCTTTCTTGCTTTCTTGCTTGCTTGCTTGCTTGCTTTCTTGCTTGCTTGCTTGCTTGCTTGCTTTCTTGCTTGCTTGCTTTCTTGCTTGCTTGCTTTCTTTCTTTCTTGCTTTCTTTCTTTCTTTCTTGCTTGCTTTCTTGCTTTCTTGCTTGCTTTCTGGCTTTCTTTCTTGCTTTCTTTCTTCTGGCTTTCTTTCTTTCTTGCTTGCTTTCTTTCTTGCTTGCTTTCTTGCTTTCTTGCTTTCTTTCTTTCTTGCTTTCTTTCTTGCTTTCTTTCTTGCTTTCTTTCTTGCTTTCTTTCTTGCTTGCTTTCTTGCTTTCTGGCTTTCTTTCTTGCTTGCTTTCTTGCTTGCTTGCTTTCTTTCTTGCTTTCTTTCTTGCTTGCTTTCTTGCTTGCTTTCTTTCTTTCTTGCTTGCTTTCTGGCTTTCTTTCTTGCTTGCTTGCTTTCTTTCTTGCTCTTTCTTGCTTTCTTGCTTTCTTCTTTCTTTCTTGCTTGCTTTCTTGCTTTCTGGCTTTCTTTCTTGCTTTCTTTCTTTCTGGCTTTCTTTCTTGCTTTCTTTCTTTCTGGCTTTCTTTCTTGCTTGCTTGCTGTTACGAACCTCCAGTGGAAAATCCAGCGGATGAGGCTCAAGGGCCGTAACACTCCCCCCCATAAAATCAAACTAGGGGTTTGACTAATTCAGTCACCACTTGCTTTTTTTTTTCATTCCTACACCTGGCAAAAAAAAACAAACAAACACTCCCACCC